GCGAGCACGTAGGGACAGCACCCTGAATGTCTTGGTTTGCAGAAAACCCAGGTTTCCTCCCACTCTGGAGCTACGTTGCTAGTTTATTAGTGGGCTGTTGCCCACTCTTGGAAGGATTTTTTGCTGACATTTCTTTTCTAAACCTTTAAGATAAAATTTTGGTAAAATATACGAAGCATAGAAATGACCAGGTTAACCATGTTAAGGATGCAGTTCGGGGGCAGTAAGTGCTTTCTCACAGCAGTTCAACTATCACCATGATACTCACACAGCTCATCCTCCCGGTCCGAACCTTGACACTCACAAAACACCCATTCCTCATTCTCTTGTCACCCCAGCCCCTGGCCCCCACCATTCTACCTTCTGTCTGTATGAATTTGACTGTGCTAGGCCACTCTAACAAGTAAAATCATATATATGTGTCCTTTTATGTCTGGTTTACTTCACTTTGAGTGATGTCTTTATGGTTCATGCATGTTGCAGCATGCGTCAGAATTGCATTCCTTTAGAAGGCTGAACGAGATTCTATTTTATGTTGTAGATCACATTTTTTCCAAAGTTTATTCATGTCTTTCATGAGAGAGAGAGAGACAAAGAGAGTAACAGAGAGACAGACACCCCCTGTGGGGTCTTCACCCTGTAATCCAACGCTAGTCTTAGCTGGGCTGGGCCACAGACACAAATGCTTATACATAGCAGGCTCAGGAAGGTCTCTGGATGCAAACTCAGGGCCTTTTCCATGTGGATCCCATGGCACCACTGTGTCACCACCGCACTTTATTTGTGCAGTGATGAATGTTTAGGTTCGCTCCTCCTTTGGGTTTTGTGAATAAAACTGCTATGATCATGAGTGTACAAATACCTATTCAAGTCCCCTTTCAGTTTTTTGGGTATATACCTAGAAATGGAATTACTAGATCATATGGTAATTTTATATTTAATCTTTTGAAAAGGCATCCTGGCATTTTCTTTTCTGTTGCATAGAGAGATAGGCACCCCCAAGGCTCTTCACACTATAATGCACCCCCTGGGAGTTTGCCCAGTTCTGGCTTATAATTATGGGAAGATGAAGACGGTTATAAAAGAAGGGAATGATAGGAAGGGAAAAGGCAGTGTGGTACAGTGTGTCCCAGCTTCAGCTAGCCCTGGATCCTGGGCACACGTGCACTTTGGCATGTTCAGGTCTCTGGATGCAAACCTGGAACCTTCCCAAGTGGGTCAGCCTCCAGAGCATGGTGGCACTCCACACCACTGTCTGGCCCGCACAGGCAGCTCTGGACACAACCGTATAGTCATTTTGCCTCTCCAGTGCCTCTCCACGCACCAGCCTGCATTCATCCTAAACAAACTCTCTTCTGCTTGTTTTCTTTTTCATTTTAAGATTATTTAGAAATGTGATCCTCACAGGAATGATGAGGATCTTGAACTCCATGGGCAGTGTTCATGAGCATGGTAGACCCTCTCTCGACACTAGTACTTTGGGAGTGCCACGCTCTCTCTGGTTTCCTGGCGTCATAGTGAGAGCTCTTATTCTCACCAGAGGACCACATCCTTTCAGGAGCACATGAGTGTCAGGTGGAACTCTGATGATTTGGCCCATAGAAGTGATGCTTGTTCATCTCTAGTCAGCGAGTCCCATCCATCCCATTCTTTTTTTTTTTTTTTTTCCATAGGGCATGTGTGCTTGCCAGAGAGACAGTGAGAGGGCAAGTGAGAAATCACACACCCCCAAGGGGAATGGGCACACTGCAATCCCTTTCCCTCTACTTTCCTGCTGGGACTTTGGGCATGTGCACATATGCCTCCCCTCAATGTGATTTTTAAGCCACCAGGTCCAGGACTCAAACTGCAATTGGCCATGTGCAAGTCCAGCACTTTAACCAATATGCCACCTGCTGATCCCCATTCCATTACTTACCACCTCAGACTCAGTCCTTCCTCCCCACCTCATCTAGTTGGGTTCAGACTCTCACCTGGCCCACTGCAATGGGCCAAGCTGGTTGCCTTCACAGTCAGGATTTCTGCCTCATCCTTCATCCTATGGGGGAAATCCACTTTTACAATGACAATGTCATTGTCACCAAAGCCCTGAAATACAAAGTTCAAGGAAGCCCTTAACCACCTCACATCTCTGTAGGGTGGAACATGCCTACTGATTTCTTGTTTGGTCCACATTTTTCTCATCAGTTGCCTTTTATGTTTGCATGGCCCTTGTTTGTTTAGCTGGGAAGGGAGAGTGACTACGGATGGGTCTATTCCTTCATCAAGGTCAGTGCGGAGGGAAGAAAGGAAAGGGAATCAATGGCAAGTCTGAAATCCTCCCACCTCCCCTGTCACCTGGTCAGCCCAGGGCGAGGGTAGCTATCTGTTTCTTCCCCTACTCTTTTCCCTGTGAGGATGGTGTTGAAAGTGCAGTAGTCAGGGCACCTGCTCAAATCATCGCACTGCTTTCTTCCTAAGCACACTTGGCAGCCACCAGCTTCACCATTTGAAGAGGGGGCCTCTGAACTCTCCCAGCATCTACCTCTTGTGAAACTGCACTTGACTTTCTAGATGTTTGGAGGAGCTGCTTCTTACACATTTTTTTCCCCTTTATGATGGAGCACATGCACTTGCACGACAGAGTGAGAGAAAGAGAGAGACAAGCACCTTCCAGGGGCTCTGGTCACGCCATGATCTCTGTTCCCCATTCCTCCAGCCCATTGGATCTTAGGCATTGATAAGTGTCTGGCATATTTTCAGTGGAGCAGACTAGGCTGAGGATTTGAACGTCGATCACTGTATGGGATCTGGATTCTCTCTCTCTCTTTCTCCTCTTTATTTATTTATTTATTTATTTTTTGAGAGATTTTTGCTATAGGGCGCTGTGCTCACTGGAGAGATGGTGAGAGACAGAGAGACACAAAGTGAGAAATCACCCCTCAGGGAGGATGACCATATCACAATCCCTTCTCCTTGATTCCTCTCTCAGGATCTAGGTACAAATGCATACGCACCCGGCATGAGTTTTCAGTTATCAGGTCTGAGATTCGAGCTGCAGTCAACTATGTGGGAGACCAGTAACGTAACCATTTCACCATCTGCTGGTCCCAGGATCTGGCTTCTCAGGGCATTACTGCTGTACCACAGAGCCAATCCTGGAGAAGCATCTTGGTTCTTGCTTCGTAAATGCAATTCTCCCCAGCATTTATTCCACTAAAATATCAACAAAACCTGTTGTATATATTAATATTTTTGTAAGCACCCTTAAATCCTTTATCAGCAAGACAAGTGTGTATGTTCACTGATTTGAATTCAGATGGCTCTTTGCCCTAGTCTGCTTAGACAGTCCCAGTCTGTGCCTATTGACCTACATAATTTTATTTATTTTTTAAAGAATTATTTATTTAATTTCACTTGTTATTAGTATTTTTTAATTTGACCAGAGAGAGAGAGAGAGAGAAAGAGAGAGAAAGGGAATGTTAGAAAGCAAGCCACCAGGTCCAGGACTCGACGGTTGGCCACATGGAAATCCAGCATCCTTAATCACCATGCTACCTGCCAGCCCCGACCTACATAATGTTAAAAAGCACTCCCACTTTTATTTGTGGGGAAAAAAAAAAGAGTTCTTGTTTAGAGGATAAATTATATGTTTATCCTAGTTAAAAATACACTATCTCAAGTGTAAAAACTACACTTTGAGGAGGCGTGGTGGTTAAGGCAGCTGGATCCCATGTGGCTGACTGCATGGTTCAAGTTCCAGACCTGGTGGCTCGAAAAACACACCAGGAACATGTGTGTACATGCTCAAAATCCCAAGAGGAGACCGGAGGAGAGGGGACTGTGGCATGGCCATTAGCCTTGAAGGGTGATTTCTCACCTTCTGCCCCCATCCCTGGCAAGCTCACATGCCCTATAGCAAACTAAAAAAAATAGTACTCCTGCTTTTGATTTTCCAGTAAAGTGCTTTCCAGGTGATCTGTGCTTTGCTTTTGCCCACATCATTGCATTTTATTTGCATGACAGCTCTGTAAGGTAGAAAGGAAAATATTTGATCTCTATGAAATGAAGGAAGTAACTAACCTTCAAGGGGTACAACGGCTGTCTGAGGGCACACGCAGGGACAGAAGCAGGCCAGAACTCCTAACCTCCAGACCAATTGTTCCAGCTGTGGCTCAGAAGGTGCGAGCCTCACTCTTATTTGCCCATCTGCCCAACTATGGGGCCTAGAACAGACACGTTCATCCTTGCCCAGAGACTGCCCGTCCACGTTTAAAGCAAGCAAAGAGATGAAAGACTTGCATACATGAGGCTGTTAGCGAATCCTGGGGCCAAGGGACATATTTGATTTTACTTGTCTAATTATATCAGATTATCTGAACCTTCTGTCTGACCCAATTAGGATGTCTCTGTTAACAACAAAGATAACCAAAGCGGATCAATGAGGCATGTCTACTGTTAAAAAGAATTCACACATGGGTTCTGCTTCATTTTATAGACATACTATTTTCCCTATGACTATATATTCATCTTTTTTTTTTTTTTTTAATCTTCCCAAACCAACAAAATTCTACCCTCTTTGGGAAAGTGGTGATGAGACAAGGGCAAACCCCTTGATCACTTAGTCAGGCACGGTGCTTTGCAAGTTCCGGAAAGTATCCCAGAGGCGCTGAATGCAGGGCCACCAGAACAGCTAAATGGTCAGACTCCGAAACTCCTGCGACTCTGCCCCAAGAGAAGGCCCAGGCCCCGCGGGGCGCCGGGCTGGGAACCCAGTGTCTCGCCCTGCAGAGCAAGGGGAGCTCCAGGGCGCCAGGAGGAAGGATGGCTCCACGCCGCTGGCCCGCCCAGCCTGACCGCGCAGCGCGATGGACGCCTTGGGGCTAGCTGTGGGCACAGTAGCCTGAGCAGGGCGGCGGCCGGTCTCCCGGGGCAGAGGCTCTGGGACTGAAGGTAAGAGGGCAGGGGAGGACGTGCTGGCGGTCCCAGGGGAGAGGACGGAGAGCCGCTCGCGCATGCGCACCGGCGCCGCGGGTGGCCGGAAGAACAGAACAGTCGAACGGTTGCTGCGGCGCCAGTCGCCGCGCCGGCCGCGGGGGGAGCAGGGCCGCGAGAGGCGGTCCCCGGACG